AACAGTGCAGTTATGTGGCTATCTGGTGAGGAGACGTGGTTCCTCATGCCTTTCTGTGCTGTCTCACGTGCCTATGACACAAGAGGATAGCTGGCACTCATCGAATTGGGCACAAATTAGCTAGCATCTGTGAAATCATACCCAGAATGACCTCCCTCCATCGTGAGGTCAGAAATGGGATATTCAATTATTTGTAAGGTGTTCTGTATCATTTGGAACTCTCTTCGTATACTGTAGCAGTCCTGGCAGCATGCTGCAAGAGCTGGACAAAATTGTCCTTCAGTGATAAGTAACGTTGTACCATAGAAGTGCTAGGAAAGACTATTTCCAGAAAATATTTCTAACCATCTCCCCATGATGTTAAATTTCATTGCTATCATTAAAGTACCCATCATCAACATCCTGGGGTTACCATTGACCAGAAACTGAAATTGATCAGCCATAAAAGTACTGTCAACAAGGGTAGGACAGAGGCTGTGAAATTTGCAATAAGTGCATCCTGCATCAAGAACCCAAGGTGTTGGAAGTAGTATACTAGTATGGATGGAGAATTGGCTAATGCACAGGAAACAGCAAATGGGTATAATGGGCTCCTTTTCAGATTGACCTGTAACCAGTGGGGTTCCACAGTGATCAGTGCAGGGAAAGCAACTGTTTACATTCACTTCCGTCCTCCAAGGTATTTATATTGTAATGTAGCCAAATTTGCAGATGACGCTAAAATAGGTGGAAAGGCAGGTTGAGAGAGCGATACAAGCAGTTTACAAAGAGATACGGATAGGTTAAGTAAGTGGGCAAAGAAATTGGCAAATGGAGTATAATGTGGGACAATGTGTAGTTAATTTTAGAAAGGAGAACAAATGAATGGAGAATTATTTAAATGGAGAAAAACTGCAGAAAGCTGCAACACCAAGGGACTTAGAGGTACTTGTGCATGGAAAATAGAAAGCTAACACACAGTTGCAGCAGGTAATTAGAAAAGAATGTTCGCTCTTATTTCAAGGGGATTGGAGCGTAAGAGTTGGGAAGCCTTACTGCAACTGTACAAGGTGCTGGTGAGACCATATCTGGAATACTGTGAGCAATTTTGGTCCCCTTATTTAAGGAAAGGTGTAATTTCATTGGAAGCAGTTTGGAGAAGGTTCACTCGGATGACCCCTGGATGGAGGGATTGTTGTATGAGCAAACAGGTTGGACTCTACTCATTGGAATTTAGAAGATTGAGGGGGGATCTCATTAAAACATAGAGAATTGTTAAGGGACTTTACAGGGTAAATGCTAAGAGGATGATTCCCCTCCTGGGAGAGTCTACGACTAGAGGATATGGTCTCAGAATTAACAGGTGCCAATTTAAAATTGAGATGAGAAGGAACTTCTTCACTGAGAGTCTTTGGAACTCTTTGCCAGAGAGAGCTGTGGGGTCAAAGTCCTTATGTATATTTAAGGCTGAGATAGATTCTTGACCAGCAGGGGAATTGACGGTTATGGGGAAAATGCAGGAAAGTGGATTAGTGGAGTGTCAGATCAGCATGATCCTATTGAATGGCGGAACAGGCTTGAGGGGTTAAACGGCCTACTTCTGTTTCTATTTCTTTGGGTCTTATGGTCTTAAGTAATTCACCTCCTGACTGCACCGTATCTATCCATCATCTATCACCCACAAGTCAGGAATATGATGGAATATTCCCCACATGCCTGGATGAGTACAGCTCCAGCAACACTCAAGAAGCTTGTTATCATCCAAAACCAAACAACATACTCGATTGGCACCCCATATATCACCATAAATCTTCACTCACTCCACCACTGGTGCATATTAGCTGCAGTGTGTGCTACCTACACAATGCCCTGAAACAACTTACTAAGCTTCCTTCAGTAGTACATTTCAAACCTGTGTCCTCTACGATCTGGAAGGACAAGGAGCAAGCTGCACGGGAGCACAACCAACTGCAAATTGCAGTCCAAGCCAGGCACCACCCTGACTTGGAACTATATCACTGTTGCTTCATTGCCACTGTGCCAAAAAAATCCTGGAGTTCCCTTCCTGATGGCACTATGGATGTGCCTACAGCAAATGGACTGTGATGGTTCAGGAAGATTGTTAACCACAACTTCTCAAGGATAATTATGCATTGTGGGCAAATGCTGAACTTATTATTCTTCAGTCTTTGAAGGATTTGTGCCACATTTTACCTGTTGCTTAACTTCTCTCCTGGGTCTCCTGTTATGCCTTTTTGATACTATTTTATCACTGGCCTATTTTGTATGGATAGCACCTATCCAGCTATACCATCTGTAAGATGCACTCCAGCAATTCACCGATGCTGATTCAACGGCATCTTCCAACGTTTCCTAAACTCCTGATATCAACCGTCTAGAAGGGCATGGGAACAGCATTAACTACAATTTTTTCTGCAAGCCACACCACTGTAACTTGGAACTATATCTGTTACTTCACCGTTGCTCAGTCAAAATCTTGGAACTCTTTTTTTTCATGACATCACTGCAAGTGCATCTGTACCAAATGATTTGTGGCAGTTCACTACCACCTCCTTAAGGGCAATGAGTGATGGATAGTGTAGAAACATAGGATTTATGTGCAGGGGCAGGCCATTTGATCCTTTTTGAGCCTGCTGTACCATTCAATAAGAGCATGGTTGATCTGGTTGTGGTCTCAGCTCTACTTTCCCATTCAAACCTAAAATCCCATGTCTAGTAAAAATCTATTTAATGCACCCTCCACTATGTTCTGGGGAAAGAATTTGAGAGAAAAGGCATTCTGAACAGTGTTCCTTAGTATCAGTCACTCTCTCATTCTCATTCTCACACTCTCCCCGCCCCCCACGCACATGGAAACATCCTCCTGGTAATCATCCTATTCAGTCCCATTGGATCTTGTGTGTTTCAATGTGATCACCTCTCATTCTTCTAAACTTTAATGGATATAGGCCTAACCTTCTAAACATTCTTTCATAAAGTAAGCCCCTTGTCCTATAAATGAGTCAAGAGAATCTCCTTTGTACTGCTTCTGAAGCAATTATATTTTATTTAGAGAAAACAACCAAAATTCCACAAAGTTCTCCAGATATGGTGTCATTAACAACTGTATAGCCACACTAAAAGTCCAGATTTTTATATTCCATACCCAGTGCAGCAAACAACATTCCATTTGCTTCCTAATCGCTTGCTGTACCTGCTCATATTTAATAGAAGTTATTTGACATTAATTTAGATCATGCTGCTAGAAGGTACTTGCATTGGAATAGACTGGATCAAATGTTTCAGATGAGTTTAGCTCATATTTAACAGGTAAATACAGCAACGTTTTGCTTTTTAATGTTGAGTTTCTTGGAATTATTGGAATACATTTTTAGAGGAACAGGGCACCTTGAAAAGGGGCGTCCTAATTTTCTTGTTAGTCTGTCCATATGTGGTCACTGGATTTCCGCGTAATTAGTTTCATGGCTATTACTAGTGTAAAATCTGGCCCAGTGGCTTGAGTCCATTTACATGTTTATATTGCAGCACTTTTAAACACTGCTGTGAATGAAAGTAACTCCTTACAGGTGTTTTCTTTTCCAGCTCTTTAAAGCCTCAATAGGCCAAAAACCTGTTCAAGCAGGCAAATTATCTATTCTCCATGGAATTCTTAAAAAGGCTGATGGGCATAATAATGCCTCATTCCATCTTCTGGTTCAATGCTTCTCTCTTCAGCGGCATGGCTGAAGGTGATTACTTAGTTAAGTAGAGGACACAGCCTGTTCCTACCACCTGTCTATGCTCTACAGCGCAGCAGCATCATTTTAGTTTTTTTTCTAAAAAACAGTCCGTATGAGAATAAGTGTTATTCAACAGCGTTTACAGTCACCAGGAGTGCTGTAAATAAAGAGAAAAGAACTTGCACTTAATATGCACCTTTTGACCTCTTGATGTTCCAATTCAATTTTTTTGAAGTGTAGTTACTGTTGCTATGTAGGAAATGAAGCATCCAATTAGCACACAGCAAGGTTCTACTAACAGCAAGAAAATTAACTTTTTTTGTGCCGTTGATTGAAGAATAAATATTTGTAAGATGCTGAGGAAAACACCTGGGTGCATGGAATCTTTTACCTGAACAGGCTGATGGACCTTTTATCTTACTAACCCATCTAAAAGGCAATTCCTCTGTCAGTGTAGCACACTGTCTGTATGCTTCAGAAATATCACCCTGCAGTCCATACTCCTGATTGAGTCAATGCATTCAAGCCTTATTCTACAGAGGTGAGAATTCTACAAGTGAGTCTCAGCTGGTGCCTACAGAAATATGTTTTTGTTTTGGCACTCCATAAATACATTTGCAGACATAATTACTATTACAGGTATGAATAATACATCCAGAAATAATAGCATGAATTTTATGTAACCTTTTAATGCCCAATGATTGAGAAATATTTCATCTGTCATGGGTGTTTGTTCAGTTTTAGTGTTAATGTTTTGCATCATCAAAGGTGTACTTTGCAAACAAAGAGAGTATTTCAAAAATACTGCAGCAAAGCTTTTACCTTTTGCACTAAAATGATTTGCTTCAGAAAGAGCAGAAATATTTTTGTATTCCTGTCACGTGTATTTTTTAAATTTAGATTTGTAAGTTATTTTACATTCCATAAACCTGTAACATGTAAAATTCAAAGCAAGTCGGCAAGTCATCCATTATGGCATGGTCACCATCCAGGCTGGTGTATATAGAATGGACATTTGTGAAATGTCAGGAGGCTGCATCTCCTTGTGGAAAATTGGGGAAATAGACAAATTCAACAATAGAAGTTAACAGTTCTACATTTTGGCTGTCCTTAGTTGGGTTGTTTTCAAACTTCACTGTCTCATCTGTGCTGTGCTAGGATGGAGGTTTTTGCTTTATTTTGTGGTATAAGTTGATAGTACGACAGTAGAAATCAGAAAAATGTTGTGTGTGAAAAGTAGAAAACTTTGAGGGCTAATATTTTCAATTTCTTTTTCACTAGATCCTGAAGACCTTGAAGCGCTTGAATGAACTTCCTATCACTGTGGATATTTTAGCTGTAAGTTACAATCTTCTGAATTTTCAAGTTTTGGGAGTGGAAGACTATGTTCTTCATAAACTAGCTGCCAATCCAATTTTGCATTGAACAATTACAGTTTATAAAATAGAAAGAAAATTGCCGTTCAGTCCTTTGCTCTCAAACTTTGATTAATGGATCTTTGCTTTTTCAGTCATTTATTTAAACAAATATGAAATATAAATTCACAGAAATTCTGCAAATAATTGAGAGTGCACTGGTAGGTTAAAAACAATGGCCTGAATTTTGTGGTGATAGAATAGTATTTGCTATTCAGTTTGTTGTCAGCCACTTAAAAAGTTCATGTAGGTTTTTGAACAGATTTTCTTTAGTGAGGAGCTACTGGGCAAGTACTCTAACATTGTGCCTAGCATTAATTTTAGTGCTGAGTCTATGAGAAAGGTCATCTTATTGGCCTGTGAAGGGACTTGTATCTCTGATAGCAACATCGAGATTTCTGCATTCCACCTATGTGTGTCGGTGCTGCCCTGTTTACTTGATGATAACGAGTGCTATCAGCCTCACTGTTTCTAATACTGCAAAATCAAGTTGCCCAATTAGGGTTCATTTAAAATCTACAGGAAGAATGTGACTGGTTAAATGTGCCGAGGGAGAAAACCTACTTCATGTGAAGACTTGGCACTTTTGTGAAAAGCAACAAAGATGTTTGTAGAGAAAAATACGTTTTTGTTTTACTTTTCCAGTGAAATTGCAAATCATATATTAAACATTCTGCCTTTACTTATTCAATAAGAAGGCAATGACAGGATAGGGTAACTTGTTGACTGACCCATTGTGACCTGTATTGTGTACATTTTGTAAAAACAAAAGGTTTTTGTTGCAGTACATTAAGTGCAAGTAACGAGGTGTAATTGTCACTTAGAATAATATTTGAATATACAATTTTTTTTGTGTTGGTATTAATAACATCTTTAATTATTGTTGTGTACATATAGAGTTTGTGAAATATTTAACTGTGGACGTCACAATCGGGTTGCTTTTACTTTCCAGTTTTCTGAATGGTTTTCCCTTCATCCCTTTGCTTTTCAAAATTTTTAGCGACTTGTTAGAGCAAGGTACCATGTATATTGATTGCCCCTATCCCTGGGACCTCCTCCAAGTGTCTACTGATGTACAAACACTGATATGGATAGAATATTCAATTACAGGAGCACATGGTGGATAAGAATAGTTCTGTTCTCACCTGATATTTCCAGCTTAAATTACCTAGATTGATTGATTTTTTTTTTTTTTTTTTTTTTTTTTTTTTTTGACTAGACCAAAGAATAAGTAGTAAGAATTATGGCTTATTTACCTTTCCAAAATGCAGTGCACCTAGGCCAGTTGTAGTGCTCCATTACTGTCCCCACCTGAGATCAGCAGAAACCTGAGAAGCCAACCTGGGAAAGTTATCCCTGGTTTGTACAGTTCAGTTTGGCACTATGTAATAGTTTATCATCTTACCTGAAAATAAGCACTGCCTTGATAATGCAACTAAAACAATTAATATCTATGCACTTTTACAACATCAAGGAATCAAGAGTAGGCTTCTGATTGAAGGTTAAGAATATACTGACAACATAACCTGTGACAAAAAAACATAGCTCAATCAATGGACATACTGAGCTTTTCAGGTTGTCAGATTATTTACATAATTTTGTGGCTAAACCCACTATCAAAGTTGTACCTATAATGTGCATTCAGAAGTTATGACTAATCTTAGACTGTCAAAGAACACCAATCTAATATAGTGCTTCTACTTTATCACCAAGATCGTTTGACATCTAACCCAACTAAACCTATTGCAGACTTCGATAAGCAATTTTTCAAACTTATATTTGATACCTTTTTTGCATCCTACTGGTCAATCCATTGAGATAAGAGATAAGGTAAACCTTAAGAGAAGAATTAAGGACTAATCCATTGACCAGTCCTTAATTCTTCTCTTAAGGTTTATCTTATCTCTAATATATGAACATAAAGAATGTGCAAGGCTATGAGAAGTAGGAGGAGTGACACAACATAAATTGCTAATTCCTGTATTGTAACAATTTGATTAAGGTGGGAATGTAGAAGTTGTTACTCCTAATATGGATTATTTGGTTTTTAAATGCAACTTGTAGATATCTTGTTCCCATCTCTCCAGTCAGCCTTCTGATTATCAATGAATAGATGATTAATGTTCAAGATTCTTAACATAGAACCTCCTGAGTGTCTTGTCCTGGGCAAGCTTCAGTTTCCCCCGTGGGGCAACTGAAACCATTGTCGTCTTCTTCATTAGTTCTCCATTCCCCTTCCCTCACTCACCACCAACAAATCCTATTTTCTCCTCAACAGTTCTGTATGCCTCCGTGATCACTGTCTCAGGCTGAACCAGACCATTCACAAGCTTTTTCCTAAGTGAAGCTTTTGGATCTCGTATCCTGTTCACCTCCATAAAATTGTCCACCTCTACCCTCGCCTCAGCCCGACTACGACTGAAGTTTGCATTCATGTTTTTGCATTTCGTCCACCCAGACTAGATTATGCCCAATAGTTTATTGAGCAGTCTCCCATCCTTCATCTTCCCAAATCATCCAGTACTTTGCTCCCTGCCTGTAACTTGTGTCAAGTCTTCTTCACCCATCAGTCACCTCCTTGCTGTCCTTCATTTCATCCCACTAAGCCACACTTCAGATTTAGGTTGTTTATCCTGTGATCACGTCCTTTTGTAGTCTTGTGTCTCCCATCTTCATAACCTCTTTTGGCCCTACAATCCTCGTAGAACTTTACTTTCCTCAAATTCTGTTCTTCTACACATCTCCAGCTCCCTTCGTGTCGTTGTTAACTGCCTAAGTTCCAAAGTCTGAAATTCTTTCCTCCTTTAAATGCTACCTCTTTGCAAGGCAACTAATGGATAAGAGGTAACTTGGTAGTTTCAGAATTATTAACTGATATTCCCATCATGTTGTTTTACACATACAAGATCCAATGGGGTAAATGTTGTTTTAACAAGGATGGATTTTTGCTGCAACAGTACAAAAGAAAATGTACTCCAGAATTCTTTCAAAGGCAGTTTGCCAAGAAATCAACTGGTATTAAATGTACCATTAACACATGCTTCTTAAAAATGTTATTAAGTGTTGCAGTATAGTTGAATTACTGTTTAGTTTTCAAATTGATTGGAAGAGTGAGGTGAGGATTTGAGATTATAGTGAGTGTACAAGCTGAAGACATTTATTTCAATGCTGTTTCTGTTCTTCTTGTAAACAGGATACAGGAATTGGGAAAACTGTGAATGGATTCAGGAAGCATGATGTGGTTGGAGATTATGCCAAGAACTTAGTCTCTAAGTGGAAGAAGCTGGTACCCCAGGAAGTAGAACGGTATTGTTTTAACAGCACTCTCGGCTTAAATAGTGAAGGTTTTCTATGTACGCTATACATGCGCATTTTCCCAAATTGTGTTTAATATATAACAAAAATTCTTGAACTTGGAGGAGAAAGAATTATTTATCTTGTGTTATGATACATAGAAAGCTAAAACTGACACTTGATCCCTCAATATGGTAGTTTTAACTCTGAAGGTTGTCATTTTTAATTGACCCCAAACTCAAGCTCATTAGTAAGTTATTGTCACCAGTTTTGTAATTGGAAATCCATTTTTTATATTAATGTAAAAATAGAGGGAATAGAATTCCAAATTAAAGTGATCAGGAATCTGAACTTCCAAGTAATAAATTTTTTTTTTCTTCATGTTCTCCTATGAATGTCCTAATGTCCTAGTTTTTAATGGTATTAAAGATGAACAAGTGTAATGCAGTATCTCTCATTCTATGGGATGTGTCCATACCTCTGAGTTCAGAAACCCAGGATCAAGTCCCACCTGCTCCAGTTATGGAAATAACTTCTCTGAACAGGTTGATTAGAAAATATCTAAGAATTAGAATAATATAGAAAAGCACTTTAGTAAAGGGATGATTAGAGTTTGCAGTTGAAAAAGTAACTTCCTTTGCTTCTCCACTATCTGCCCCACAAAAAAAAGTCCCTGATATTTGATTAACAGGAACATGGCACCAACTTCAGTACTTTTCAGGATTATAAGTTTGAACTGTTGACTCGTCTGTTTCAGGTAAGTTTATTTAAAATATTCTGTTCCTTTATACAGATATAATAATTGTAACTTAAGTTAACATGCGTGAATTGGACATAAAAGCTATCTTTGTTCAACTATATTGTTACATAATTCAGACATCGATATGACTCCTTGCCTTCCCTTCCCTGCACTCCGTTCTGGTCACCTCATTACAGGAAAGATGTGGAAGCTTTAGAGTGGGTGCAGAGGAGATTTACCAGGATGCTGCCTAGACTGGAGGGCAAGTCTTATGAGGAAAGGTCGAGGGAGCTAGGGCTTTTCTCATTTGAATGAAGAAGGACGAGAGGTGACTTGATAGAGCTGTACAAGATGATGAGAGGCATAGATAGATTGGATAGTCAGAGACTTTTTCCCAGGATGGAAATGACTATTGCGAGGGGGCATAATTTTAAGGTGATTGGGGAAAGGTATAGGGGAGATGTCAGAGGTAGGCTCTTTGCACAGAGAGTGGTGGACGTGTGGAATGCGCTGCCGGCAGTGGTAGTGGAGTCAGATACTTTAGAGACTTATAAGCAACTCTTGGATAGGCACATGGAGGATAGTAAAATGTATGCAGGGTAGATTGATCTTAGTAGGATAATAGTTCAGCACAACATCGTGGGCCAAAGGGCCTGTACTGTGCTGTACTGTTCTATGTTCTGTATTCTATGATCCAAGTTCACTGTAAAGCAATTATCTTTAACAGCAGCATTCTTAGAAGGGCCAGACGCTTACTTGGGGATCAGAGTCCTGATTGCCCTGCAACTGATGTATCAGCCTTCAGTCATTCTGCTACAACATGTAAACATCTTGTTGATACACATTTTGCTTTTATTCGCTGAGTTTGAATGAAAAGTAGTTTGTTTTCTCTCCAAGCTAATTGAAGATTAGTGTTTTAATTATGTTTCTCTGGCTTCTGTTGTGTTTTGCTACTGATCCAGTGGTGATTTATCTTGCCTTTCTGCCATTGAAGCATAGGCTTTTACTATAGGAGAAAACAATTTGACATTGTATGCCTATGCTGACCTTCAAATAACTATTCATGTGTCCCTCATATGCGAACATTTACCATTTCTGTCAGCAGGTTTGATTAGAGGAGCTCAGAGCTGATTCTGATGTTGACACTTAACATGAGCAAATGGATACTTTTTAGTAAATATTAGAAGTCAGTGATTGAGAGTTCAGCTTGACTTTGTTCAATGTTCGCTCAATTAAACATGCGATCCAATTGTTAACCCTTCTGCCTGGCAGAGATCTGAGATTGAAACTAGGACCACCGTAAACTGTGTTGCTCGGTTTCACATTACCTGTGCTTTTGCCAGCTGTGCAATGTTCTTTTAAAAATAGAGTCCTTTCTTATTGTGTAAGTACTGCTGCAGTGCCAATTAGAATCTTCTTCTGGCCTGTCATTAATTATATGTTTATTTTGTTCAGATCCACCAATACATTGGACGAGCGAGAATTTAGTTATAATAAAGGAGTATCTAGAAAGAGACACCGGGACCCTCCTTCAGAAGATGATTATGGACAAACATTCCAGACCCTTCCTAGAGAGTCCAGTGAACCAAACTATGAACATATTCAAGGGAAAAGGAGACACTTATTGGAGAGTGAGAAATCTTTCAGGTCTGGTAGCTATAGCTACCAGTCTTCAAAATCCAATTTTAAAGAGGAGGCAGAGAGATGGACTAAATCTCCTCCTGTGGAGGACTATGATGAGGAAAATGACTATTCTGAGGAAGATGTTGAACAGCCTATGCAGCCATCAAAAAGCTTCCATAAAGCTCCTCGGGACCACCACAGCTCAGAGGTGGAAGTGAACACAGGATGTGACAGGGAACATAAGTCTTTGCACAAGGAAAAGCAGCAATCAGCTACAAAAGATGAAGAAAAATATAAATTTTCCTCACTCCAAATGCAAGATAAAATAAGATCTTCCTTAAAGGAACAGCATAATCATAGGGATCGAGGAGAGTTTGCTTCAATAAGTTCCAGTCATAAGAAAATTCGCCAGCAACCTGAGGAAACTTTAGAATGTAAAAAATATAAGCACAGAGACTCAGACAAACGAAAACCTGATCATGAAGAACCAAGGAATACATCGGAAAAACCCAAAGAGAAACCTACATCAAGTAAACAGAGAGAACAGTCAGATTCAAAAAAATCAAGGCCTACAGAAAAGCATCAGTCTGTTTCTTTCCCTAAGGACTCTACTAAACCAGAAGCAGCTGATGACTTTGAAGAACCGACAATGTCATTTGAGTCTTACCTAATCTATGACCAGCCACAGAAAAAAAAGAAAAAGGTTAACAGACCTGTTGAGAAAGTTAAAGAGACTCGGCCGGATAAATCCAAAGGGTCAGATAAACTTGTGTCAAAATCAGGTTCTAAAAGCTCAGACTCCTCTTGTAGAGAGAAGAATGTTGAGGAAAAGAAGAAATCCAAACGGCACATTGAGGAAGTGCCTAGTGTTAAACCCAGAAAGGTAAAATTAAGATTAAATAAAATTGTATTAGGTGTCATAATTAATCCTGGAACATTAAACTCCTTTACAGAAGTTTAACAGCCATCTTGTTTGTGAGATCTGGGTGACATGGATTAAAATTCAGCTCTTTAGGTCTGGTGTATATGTATTTATATTGTTGTTTGCACTTTTGAGTGTGACCACATGGGATTAATGACCACAGTTCTCCTGTGTATATTATAGTGGGTGATCAAGGAGAGGAAGAGATAAAGACTACTTTATTGCTTATAGTGACTAAGTCTGAAGACACTGTGTTCTTAGAATTGTTTATAAAAGTTGGTTCGTCTGGTATTGTATTTTTGACTCCCATAGAATCACATTCAGCAAGAATTAGATAGTCTGTAGGGGTGTAGCCATTGGAACAGCAGAGAATAGAAAAAGAAGCAAGTGCACATTTGAGCCTCAAGATCCTATGATGTCATTCTGTGAATCACATAACTATGTTTGTTTCAAACTGTACATCTGTAACAGAATTCTTGGGCTAATTGTATTTTTTTTGCTGTACGAACAATTGTGTTGCCTGTTAGGTAGAAACCTGCCCACAGACTGGATTTCACATTCAAATTAAGTATCAGCTATTTTGTCCCATTTTATTATTATTGATAACTGTGTGTTTGGAAGAGGAACAATATGCATTTAGTGTTTTAATTTGACAATGAAATTCTTAAACCTCAGCAATGAGTCAAAAATATGAACCAACATATGAGGAACTAAACCAGTGTCACCATTAATTTAGCCCTGTCAAACACTTGCTCTGCAATCCATTAATAAAATTAGAAATTAGTCTCAAGATGTGTGAAAATGGCAAGAATGTTGATGAGGTTGAATTCTATGTTAAAATAAAAAGTCCTGTTACTTCAGGCTTTGGTATTGACTGCCCTGAGATGCTAAGTACAGGTTTGTCAGGTTCAAGAAACGTGGAGAACAAATAGACTGACTTGTACTTGTCCAGCATCATTGTAGGAAGTAGCTATCTAAGCATCCAGAATATTTCAGAGTAAATGATTTTGCTTCATTTTCCATTAACAATGAAAAGCATCTGTGATTACTATGAACCAATGCTACAAGTTCCCTCTGATTGAACCTGAAAATTTTATTTGCTACAGCCAAGTATGTAAGTGGACTGCCCAGCCACAGATTGGCATTGGAAACAGGTTAGCTATCAGACTCCTGGCCACGGAATTAAATTTGGCGTTGTTTGAAATGTGGAGTCATTGAACAGATTTTTTTTTTTGATTATGACATTAATTCTCATTAGGTAAGTATTAAAATAAATAGTGGTATTGTCAGTGTCCTCAGCAACACTTTATTAGTCGAAGGCTATGTACCTTAAAAGTAGAGTCAATCACAAAAGAAAAAGAAGTGGAGATGTATTAGCAATTATGTATGTAGTTTTACTGTGGCCTGTATCTCTCAGTTTTGGCATTCCAATATCAGCTGCCGCTGCACGGATCTTCAATTACTATTTGCCATTTAAAGACTGAAATTTTAACGTTGCTTTTCCTTTCCTCTTTCTCAATAGATGATGATTGATGTAGTACCTGTATTACCAGATATCCCATTGCCACTCATCCAACCCAACTACAGACCCCTTCCTTCAATGGACATGACCCCATTATCACCACCAAAAAGGAAAGGTGAGTCATTCTGTTGTAAGTTGGAATTGTGAATACAGTCACAGTGTGAGTGAATGGGATTTGGTGTAAGTTAAGATAAATACTGCGGATTTTTGGAATGACTTAAGGGTGCAGGGGTTGCAATTGGAAGGCTGGCCAGGAGAATGCTGGAATGTTGAGATTGAGGTTGAAAAAGCATGAATGTGAGTTTTAGCAGAGATGAGCTGAGGCAGAAATGGGGCAGGCAGTTTAATAGAGGAAGAAGTAGATTCGGGAGATGAGAGGTTGGAAGCTCAGCTCCGAGTCAAGTAGGGAAGCTAGCTCGTGAACAGTTTGAGTAGAATTTTGTCAACTGATGGGAAGTTTTTGCTGCCGACATCAAATTTGACTGAACACTTTTCTATCTTGGCCAATCAATGCCAAACAGGTGGGGAGCCAACCAATAACTGATGTAAGTTCAGTGGTAGTTTCAGCATGTTAAAGGAATGTGCTATATTTAAATGCAACCTGCAGTCTTCACGTACCATGCATAATATACTGAGTTTTCTATTGGTGATGAGGCCCCAGTGAAGGGTCAGAAAACCAGGCACAACCCAGTCCAAAACTTGGAGGACCCCTTCAAAAGTAACTTGTCGGACTCCCTTTCCCAAAATCTGCTTACCAATTAGAAGATGTAGCAGCTGTTCTGAGAGATAAGAGGATGCAGTGATAGTCACTGTACTGTGATTGGGGTCAGGTTTCTCTGAGGCTAGTTGGGTAGGCTATGATACGTTTATGGTGAGGGATTTTGTTACAGAGGCAGCCATTGTCATTGGAGGCTTAGTAGTCAATCGATGGATCACAAATTGGTCCAACTGGAATGGCCCTGCTGAGCTCGCAGAGAGGCCTCCACAGTCTACCAGGCCGACGAGGGCCTAGCTGCTTATGCTCTGTTTAGCTGCAGTCCTTGCAGTGAGATGGCAACTGTTGCAGGTGTCCTCTGCCTCTGTCTGAATTCTGAATGAGTCTAAAACATATGCCTTTAGGGCACACCTGTTGTTACCCGGTATCTACCACCACAGCTTGCCTGAAGAGCTGAGGTCCCTAGGACTAGCCTGGGATGAATGAGTTGTGGCACCTTGCCAGGAACCATATACATGTCTGCAGAATACTTTTATGTTGTCAGAAGCTAATCGTTTGTTCAGCAAGAGGGGAGTCTTCATGAAAGCGCATTGCTGCTCTGCAGGGACCTCGATAGCCGCATGCATGCAGTCTGTGGGAAGTGAGCTGTGACTCTGGTATTGACTGGAAAAGAATGGGAAGAAAAGAAGATCACTGCTAATTTATCAGCTTCCTTTGTTCCAGTTTGCATCATTTAGTCTTTTGACCAGGTGTGTGACAGGTGTTCTAGTTGAGATTGTGTGATCTCAATTAGTTGGGGAGAAGAATGAATGAGGGTGAGTAGGTGTGTGCGCAGAGTTATAGTGAGTGTGGGTTGTGCATGTTTGTGTGGTGGGTGGATGTCTACTTGATAGCTGGAGATGCATGTGTATGGGATGAGTGTATGTGGATAGGGGTGGGTGGATGCATGTTTGTGTGCATGCATGTAGGTTGAAAATGTGAGTGTTTGGTGGATGAAGAGTGTTGTTTTTTACTGCAGTGACTGGAGTTTAATTCCTGAAGTGCTTTGGATATGAAATGCAGTTTCCTTTCTGCTCCAGCTGTGTCTGTTCTATCCGAGGAGGATCTGGGATTTACTGGTCGCCGGTTTAACTCAAAGATGCAGGTGTATTCCGGATCAAAGACTGTCTACCTCCCAAAGATGATGTCACTGTATGAACAGTGTATTCGGGTTTTACAAAACAACGTGGATTGTAAGTCACAAATAATCATAAGTGTGCACTTGCCCGTAAAATTAGGACTGCATGATATATTCCTAATAAGAAAGTAGTTCTGTATTGGTTCCAGGGTTGCCTGATGCTGTGCTTTCAACATTTGAATTAAGACATAGGTACTGCTTTTTGTAAGTTTTAGATTTTTTTTGTTTGTCGCTTGATCCCCAGGAGAAAGCACCTCATCTTTGACACTAATATGTGCTTCAGAGAATTGGAAATCTCTTGACTACTCTATGATGCCATGCATTGGTGTTCCAAACTACTTTGTTTGATCTGTCTGTCTCAACAAATAAGTGTAAAGACTTTCATCCTACCTTATTATCGAGGAGATAATTATATGTAATTGTGAAGTAACACTTAAATGTTAGCATGTATTGGTCTTTTTATTTAAACCAGTGCTATTTTCCAATCTCTCTTTTTAAAGGCTTTGGCCTCTTGATGTGGTATGGTTCTGCATGTGCTAAGATTTCTAGTTCTTCACCTAAGCGAACATTATTCATGTGTAAACTTTGATGACTATAGGCAAGATACTTGACACAGGCCGACAGATGTCCAGACTTCTTCCAGCAATGGCACATCTCAACATTGTAATTTTGAATTCCAGCCTCCATTGACTTAGTTCCTTTCTTCCCTCCTGTTGTTTCCTTCTACATATGTGGTGGCTTAATGTGGTTTTCCTCCCTTATCTTGGTTTGAACTTAGATGGTCTCAATCAGCAAATGTTGCTGGGGATTGCTGAATAAACTACAGTACTGATCATATCCACCATTAGTGGGAAGGGATTTGAAGATCTGCTTCTGTGGTTTCAAATTAGCTGATTATCAGAACCATTGACCTCAACTAAGGCAATGCCCGAGGCTAAAACTTGCTGCATTCCTTGCAAGGACATCTGAGCATTAAATATACTAGTTGTATATTTGAAGTTGAGGGAAAGCGAAAAGTAGAATCATGTTTTACCTATTGCTCAACATAACAATTCACATGACAGTTAAGTAAAATACCATGATAGTTACACCAGTGACCAGGATTCCATTTACCCTTTTTTCCCCTTAAACTCTCAAACTAAAGATGAGGGCTGTATAAAAGTAGTCACTGTAGTCCCAGAGGACCATAGGGCCATTCTCTCATTACAGATGACCGGTAACCTGAAGATCACCACATCTTAGGCAAGGGGTGAGATTGAAAAGATGGGACCTTCATGGTGACCTCAGCCAGTACAGGTATTGAACCTGTGCTGTTGGTGTCACTTGACATTGCAAATCAGCTGTCCAGCCAACTGATGTAACCAGCCTGTGCTGTAGGGCTGTATATTGGAGCTGAATTAGAAGCACTCCAATGTTAAGACGAGATTTATGAGTTTAGAAAGACTTCAAATAGACGTATCCCAGGACCGCTTTTCTCAAAGCTTTTATACAATTACATGTTGACTTTTATTCCTTTTTTCTTCCATGTTGCTGAGATAGCATTTCGCGGGTCATAGTCATTCTCCAGAGCCCTGTCTGAATGTGAAAAAACACTTAATATGAACCTAGATTGTAAGGAGTGGCAGATATCTTGATTGTGGAGCAACATCACATCAGTTGAATTTGAACTAATCATCTGTGCAAGTGTACATTCTAGCATTGGCCACAGGATAATGGTCAGTAGAAAGATGTCTTTATTTACCCCTCTACTTACCTTAAATCTAGAAACTGAGGCATTTTGCAGCTACCAGAGAGAAATGTTTTGTCTAAAACATACACCCTTTTGTGATTCGTATCATTTGGGAATGTTATTGACAGGAAATTCCTCGGAGTTGCTCTTCAGGTGATGTTACTTCATGAAGGCCCTGCATGTACTGTTTTATCTTTGTGTTGCATATTTTTGTCAGTATCTGCTGTGCTTTCTCGCAGCTATTCATGAAGTTGGAGGAGTGCCATTTGAAATTTTAGAACCTGTGCTGGAACGATGTACCCCTGAACAGCTATATCGGATTGAGGACTGCAATCCGGTAAGCCTGTGTTCTGACTCCTAAAAGGGGAAGTTAATGAAAAAGTACAGGAGCTGCTCATTTGTGGTGGTCTACTTTTCGCTAACAGTAAAACAAATTATTGTCTTTTCTACAATCCTAACTTTATTTATGGGGGAAGCAGGATGGTGAGATGCTGGCACAGTCATAATCTCACTGGGTTAGTAATCCATTGGCCCAGTCTCAAGCTTCGGGCACAAGTGTTCAACTGCAGTGATGGGATTTGGTGGAGTTTAAATTAAGGGAAGGAAATCTGGAATTTAACATTAGTCTCAGTACAGTGAATCATGAAGCTATAATTTTGTTCTAAAACCAATCTGGTTCACTTATGTCTGTTAGGGAAGGAAATCTGCCATCCTTACCTGGTCTGTGCTACATGTGACTCTTAACTGACCTCTGAAATAGCCTGGCAAGTCACTCTGTTCAAGGGCAGTTAGCGATGGAAAACAAATAATGGCCTTGCCAATGATGCCCACATCTCTCAAAAGAATGAAAAAGAAGTGGTTTGTAAATAGAAGTACTTGAAAGTGTGAATTAATAAGGTGTAAGCTAAGGTCTCAAAAGTATAATTATTGTTCCTAGGCTTTTTAATCTTTTCTTTGCAATTCAAAAGGTTTTGTGGAAAGAAACAGTTTGAGAGACTTTATAAATCTACTAAGAGGTGTGGTGAAGCACACTTTTGGGCCAAAATCAAAAACCCTCAAAATTTGTTGTGATCTCAGTTGAAATATTTTTTGCTTTGTCTAGTCTTTGCCATGTCATGTCAATGCACACATTGATAAACGAAAGATGGGACTTGTTTTTCACAACTTTGAATCCCAAAGTACTTTAAAATGATGTAATTGCATCTCGGGTAACATGGTATTCAATTTGTCCGTGACGATATCACGTGAACAGCAATGAAATAAACATCCAGATAATCTGTTTTAATGTTTGTTGTTGAGAGATGAATATTTGCCAGGCACCTGATGAACTACCCTGCTTTTCAGACAGCTAGCCAACAGCAAAGGTCTGCTGGTGTATTTCAAGTAAGTTATGGTTAGACTGGGAAAATTTACACCCCTGGAGCCACATCCCCAATAGACCACGTTGTTGATATGATGATAGCTGCATCTTTCCTGTCGGATCCTAGAACCATGCTGAGTTAGCTGATGTCACCCAAGGCAGCCGTAGTAATGTGACCTACAGCCTTAGCACCCAATGGCTGCAGAAGTGAACATAAACCAAGGCACCTGATTCTAGATGCTAACCGGTGACCCACTACAGGAAGTGGATCTGAGTTCTGCCAGATGTAACCAAGATCAAACTTGGGTGTGATGCCTCTAGAGGTCAGATTATTTGCTGGCTTCACAATGAGTGCATGAAAAATATTCTCAGTACCATAGGAATAAAAGGAGGAAGTTACAGATGGATTAGCTATAAATGGGGAGATGGCAGAGAAAATTTGTGGAAATTGATCTTGATGACATGCATCCTAGAATGATATAGAGTACTGGGAGGATGTGGCAAATGATCCGAACCCTATAAACCGTAAGTCAGGAGACTTGAGGGTTCCTATAACTACACATTTGTTCGAAAAGTACAGAAAGATAAATTGGGTAACTGTGAGGAAGTCTAGCATGAGCAAGTAAACTTCTGGAGGTCATTATATTGGAGATAAAGTTAATACTTGGAAAGGTATGTTAGTTTAGGAATTGCCAGCATTGATTTATACAATACGGTTTGTGCCTAGGAAAGTTTAATTTTTGAGGAAATAAGAAAAAGTATTGACAAGGTAAAGGAAATTAATCTTTATCCATTTTCGAAAGAATCTTCGTGATGCAGGCAAACTAGTTAATAGTATGGTTTGAAATTAGAATATGGTAGCGTGGAAAAGAAGTTGGATGTACGTATCTATACAATAGCAAACAGGTAATACTAAACCTGTAGCAACCGATAGATAAGCTGCAGTTAAGATATAGTGTACACTTTGGAGAGGGTGCAGAAGAGACTTCCTGAGATGACAAATGGGGAATTAATTGTTTTAGTATGAGGAGTGATCAGGAAAACTGGTATTCTTACTTTTGCTAATTACTTTTTGTTCCAAAGGAAAAAGTGCTTTTTCAGGAGCAGATCAAAAATTGCTTAACTTGGTACAAAAGTAAGATCTTTTTAAAAATGTGCAATTAATAAAGTTAGGAGAAATGGGGAAGGAAAGCTTTCCATCATGTAGGAAAGTACTGCGCTATAATGACATACATTAGGGTAAGAGTCATGCTGCATCCAGATTCAAGGCTTTTTCGTAGTTGGTGTCTTGGTCACTACATGCAGCATCATCAAGTTAGGTGTTGACTGGGTTCCTAAATATGCTGAGGTACTGTACTGTGAAAGATAAAGGTTCTTTTTAGAAATTAATGTTTTTCATTAGTAAAAGAGATGGGTGTACTCCATGCTTGGAAAAAAAGGATGTACCATACAGCGGCATCTGTTGAAACAAGCCATATTGTAGTGTAATGGAGAGCTTGATAGTCTGAGAAAAATGAAAATGGAACACAGTGGGCAGCAATAATTCAGATAACATCAGCTGTGATCTGCAAATAATTTATAAACAACAATTATTTCTCAATGTCGTTGGCCAACTGACAAATGTTGGCACTAATGGAAAAAGTTAGCTTTTGATGTGTAAGTGTTAAGCTCTATAAAGTCCAAGATAGGTATGATGTATGAAGGGTACACCTCAGGGCATGTTTAGCAACGCATACCCATTGTGGAAACCAAGTCATTAAAATGTGGGAGCAGAGAGTTGCTGTTTGTTTCCTGTGGCTATTTTGTCAAACTAGCTGGAAGTTTGGAAACTTTGGGACAAGGGTGTCTTGTTGGCTGTTTAATAAACACTAAAATAGTTCATGCTGGTGCAGGTTTCACAACTACACAGTCACATGTAGACATGAGGATGAGGTTACTGTTTTCAAAAGAGCTGCCAGCATGGTCAGATGATCTGAACCTGACTTCAATCAAATGTTTTTTCAGACATCACATAGAACAAGATCAGACTAGGTTGGGAAGTTTTGCAGTTGTCTACAACATTTCTAAAACTTTTTTTGCCTAATTATTTTCGCTACTTTGAGAATTTATTTAGTTCTTAACCACTACGTAATATTCACCATCTTCTTGAGTTCTCTGCCCAAAAGCAGTTCTAACCCACACCAATGAGGTCTCAACCAAGGATAAGGAAAAGAGGCAGCTCCCAAATACACTCCAGCAGAAAGAGATTGAACCCCATGCTATTGGTATTAATCTGATGCACGTTGGTCATGCATCTAACTGAACTAACTGGTCTCCCAAGTTTGTATTTTACTGTATAAGTATAAACAACAACGAATTTCAGACAAAAGTTTCCTCCCTTTTCCATCATGCTTTATCAAACTGATTTTACTTGAACAGACTTTTCTCTTCCCTTTCCCCTCATCCCTCCCTGCCCCTCTTTTCCCCTCCTGCTCCTGCCCACCTCCATCCCCTGTCCTCCCCACCTTGCCCCTCCCTCCGCCTTTGCCTTTCCTCCCTCCCTTTCCTTCAAATGGACAGAGAGAGATAGTAGGCCATTTGTGCAAGTGAAGGACATCACAGCCAAATGTAATCCCATTTAATTTGATCTCCAAATATCAGCACTCTCTAGTGGAACATGATAACAATCCACTTGCAATATTGGGATTTTCTTGTTCTGTAATTAGCTATTACAGACCAAGAATTAATCTTTCATGGTCACAAGACTCGGTTACTTACAAATTATAATTTAATATTCAGAGCTCATTTATCTGGTACTGCTACTGCCTCTATTGAATCATGAGTGATGTGCATAGAACATAAAACATAGAACAGTACAGCACAGTACAGGCCCTTCAGCCCATGATGTTGTGCCGACCTATTATCCTACTGTAAGATCAAACTAACCTGCATACCCTTCATTTTACTATCATCCATGTGCCTATCCAAGAGTCGCTTAAATGTCCGTAATGTATCTGACTCTACTACCACTGCTGGCAGTGTATTCCACGCACCCAACACACACTGTGTAAAGATTCTGTCTCTGACATCTCCCCTATACCTTCCTCCAATCACCTTAAAATTATGCCCCGTCACGATAGTCATTCCTGCCCTGGGAAAAAGTCTCTGGCTATCAACTCTATCTATGCCTCTCATCCTTCTCTCCAAAGAGAAAGAGCCCTAGCTCCCTCACCCTTTCCTCATAAGACCTACCATCCAGTCCAGGCAGCATCCTGGTAAATCTCCTCTGCATCCTCTGTAAAGCTTCCACATCTTTCCTGTAATGAGGTGACCAGAACGGAACACAATATTCCAAGTGTGGTCTAACCAGGGTTTTATAGAGCTGCAGCATAACCTCGTGGGTCTTAAACTCAATTCCCCTGCCAATGAAAGCCAACACACCATACGCTGCCTTAACAACCCTATCAACTTGGGTAGCAAATTTGAGGGACCTATGGACGTGGACCCCAAGATCCCTCTGTTCCTCCACACTGCCGAGAATCCTGCCATTAACCCTGTATTCTGCATTCAAATTTGATCTTCCAAAATGAATCACTTCACACTTTTTTCCGGTATGAGTTCCATCTGCCATTTCTTTGCCCAGCTGTGCATCCTGTCAGTGTCCCGTTGCAACCTACAACAGCCATCCACACTATTGACAACTTCACCAACCTTCGTGTCATCCGCAAACTTACTAACCCACCCTTCCACTTCCTCATCCAAGTCATTTATAAAGATCACATGTTAAACAGATTGTCAGTGAAATTTTCAAATACTTAAAATTGTGCAAAGTAATCCACTGGTGTAGTAGAAAGTTTGAGGAAGTTGGCTTTCATGTTTTGAATTCCGATGATCAAGGGTTATAGTTGGATGTGCATTCAATTTGTGGTTTGTACTTTTGTATGCTCTAGTTCCACAGGTTTCAGTAAGAATGCCTAGAATTTTCAAAATAAGATAATTATTTTGATAAGCACTTTTCAATTTTCATGCTTAATTAATGAATTAGTTCTTCTGTTTAGATAACTTCTGATACGTGGCTGCAGGTTTTTTTAAGCCATGCCTTATTTGCAAGAAAGGAGACTAAGTACACAATTACAAATGATGATCTTATTGAACTACTGAATCCTCACTTCAGCTTCTGTAGAAAATGTAGGTTATGGTATTTAGGCACAATATAACTGGAAATGGACCTGGAAATGATGTTGTATACCCTTTGAAAATGACCAATGGACAATATGGGATGTCTAATAAATATTGCCACCTCACATAGAAAGGTCTTCTTCTATTTCTGCAGTGGTGAGTTTTATAGAGCTGAGTTGTATCAGCCCTGATTCAGCAGCCAATCATGGATTGAAATTTGTCTGGACCAGTGGCACAAAAGGGACAATAGCGATCAGCAATTTGTTTTATACATGTCTCATTATCTGCTCCATTGACTGCCACCCAAGACCAGTTTCATCTTCCCCAGTGTCTAGATGTTGATATCCAAAATTATCCTTAGTATTTACACTGATCACTCCTTAAGAGTTGAGATGAATTATTTTCCAGAACATCTGCTGTCTCTCTCTCTTCACTATTAATTCTCTCTAGTTCCTATATACGTACAGATGTTAGATTCTGATCTGTAGATCAGATCTAATCTCTGCTAATTCACCCAAGAGGCCAGTTTTAATAGGCAAGCCTTGATGGTGAGAATAAATAGATTAGTTGATTAGATGGAACTTTATAGCTGTAACTAATCCTGTCCTTCTAAAATACCCATAAATGTGCACTTTCCAACACCTTAGTGATACAAAGCAAAAATTCTGGAAATTTGCTCCTTCCTGTAGGCTCTTGGTATTGTGATCGATTGCATCACTACTAATCTTTATTGACTGCACTAAACTAAAACAACATTGTGATAATTAATTTGGGGATTAATATGGTTGCGTATAAATTCTGTCTGTGATTAATGTACAGTACAAAAATGCAGTGTAGCTTCAGTGAAGACTGATTTTGGAGGATGGTAAATTAGCTATAGAGGTGCTTTTTAAAGTTTAAAGTTTAGGATTATGTTTCACATGGAATGGTTGGACCAAAGGGTCTGTTTCTGTGCTGTATGACTGTATGCGTGATGATTTTAATTGATTAGTTTCAATCTCTATCTTTCAGTAAATGGGTAAAGGGGAATTGTAGCCAAAAACAGGTGGCATATGGTTAAAAAAGCTATGTTAGATTTGGTTAAATTGGTAAGTACCACCTGTGTCAAAAATGCTATGCAAGAAAAGAAAATCTAAGCCTTTCCTTTGTCCTTGACTTGAACTTTTCCCATCAGTATCTAATTGTGCATTTCTACTGCCAAACAGACTTTTGTTGAAGAAACTGATCACCTGTGGCTGAGACACTGTAAACGAGATTTTAAGAACCAGGACCGACAAGAGTTTGAGTCATGGCGTGAAATGTATCTACGTCTTCACGATGAGCGAGAGCAGAAACTGCGAGCTATAACACAAAGCATTAGTTCAGCACATGCCAGCAAACCAAAGGGTAAAAAGCTATTTTAGTGAATGCAATAGTTTAACTAATTGGCAGATATTTTACTTTGAGTTGTAGTAATGCAATGAAAGAACACCCGATATTTTCATTTGTTTCAAAAGATTTGTTGCTGCTAGCACTTTCACTTGGAGGTATCCATAATCCATAATTCAATGTTCAACTATTTTTATAGTTTAGCATGTTATTATGAACTGTAACTAATATTTGAATATATTGTAAAAGCAGATTCAAAGTGACTTTCAAAATGGTGCTGGATATATACCTGAAAAATAAATAAGTGCAGGGCTATGGGAAATAATTGACTAATCCTTTCAAAGATCTGGCACAGGCATGTTATGCTAAATGGCCTCTTTATGTTCAGTATGAGTCTATTATTTCACTTTTTGTAAAGCAAATTCTTACTAATAGGTGAGGAAGGAAATGATATGTTGGCTATTATTGCTGGAGGATTTGAACGCAGGAGTAAAGGTGTCTTGCTGCAGTTGTGTAAAGCCTTGGTGAGCTTCACCTCAAGTAATGTGTGCAGATTTGATCTCCTTACCTGAAAAAGGATATACTTGAATAGAGGGAGTGCAATGAAGTTTCACCAGGCTAATTTCTGGAATAACTGGATTGTTCCATAAGAGACTGAGGAGACAGGGCTTGCAGTCTCCAGAATTCGAAAGAATGAAAGGTGATCTCATTGAAAATTAAAATTCTTACAGGGTTCAACAGGCCAGATGCTAGAAGGATGTTTGCCCAGTTAGGGATCAAGAACCAGAGGGCAGAATAAGTGGTAGGGCCATTTAGGATTGAGAGGAGTAATTTTTTGCACTTGGAGGATGATGAATCTTTGGAATTCTGTAGCCCAGAAGGCTGAGGAGGCTCAGGGTATGGTCAAGAAAGAGATGGATATATTTATGGATATTAAAGACTTCAAGGTATGTGGGGAATAGTGTGGGGAAAATGGTGCTAAGTTAGAAGGTCAACCATGATCTAGTTGCATGGAGGAGCAGGCTCACGGGGCCGAATGGCCTAGTTTTGCTTTTATTGACTATGTTCCTAAGGTGAGGAGCAGAATATCTTTCAGTTCTTTGTATATCTTTAAAACTTGCTGATGAACATACTTTTTACCACAGCAGCAATACATTTGGTTTTTGCATGTTCTTTAAATATAGCTTCTCTGTGAATTGACCATTTCCAATTTCATAACATTTCCTGGTTTTACTCAGTGTTGCCGAACAAAGAGACCTTGGAGTGTAGGTTCATAGTTTCTTGAAAGTAGAGTCACAGGTAAACTGTGTAGTGAAGAAGGCGTTTGGTATGCATGCCTTTATAGGTTAGTGCATTGAATATAGAAGTTGGGGAGGTCATGTTGCGGCTGCAAGGGACATTGGTTGGGCCACTTTTGGAATACTGCATTCAATTCTGGTCTCCTGCTTTAAGAAAGGCGTTATGAAACTTGAAAGGATTCAGAAAAGATTTACAAGGATGTTGCCAGATTTTGTGGGTTTGTGCTATAGGGAGAGGCTGAATAGGCTGCCACTATTTTCCCTGGAGCATCGGAGGCTGAAGGGTGACCTTTATTGAAGTTTATAAACTTGAGGTGTATGGATAGGGTGAATAGCTACGGTCTTTTCCCCAGGTTAGGGGAGTTCAAAACTAGAAGGCATAGGTTTAAGGTGAGAAGGGAAAGAAATAAAAGGCACCAAAAGGGCAACTTTTTCACGTGGAGGGTGGTGCATGTAGGCAATGAACTGCGAGAGGAGGTAGTGGATGCGGGTACAATTACAACATTTAAAAGGTGTCTGGATGGGTTTACGAAGAGGGAGGGTTTAGGGGGATATGGGCCAAATGGTGGCAAATGGGGCCACATTAATTTAGGATATCTGCTCAACACGGAACAAGTTAGATCGAAGGGCCTGTCTCCATGCTGTACATCTCTGAGTCTATCTCAGGTCATCTGCTGCTGAAGCTATCATTTATGCCTTCATTGCCTCTAGACTTGATGAGTCAATGCACTCCACATTCTACTCACCATGTACTTGAAGTCATCTAAAACTCTTCTGCCTGTGTCTTAACTCGCACAAGTCCTGTTTCCCTTTGCCCTGAACTTTGTGCTCATTCACCTATATTGGCACCTGGTCAAGTCATGTCGGGTGGGGGTGATGCACTGGTAATGTCTCTAGATTTGTAATCTGGAACTCTTAGGCTAATGTTCTGGGGATATGGGTTCAAATCCCACTATGGCAGATGGTTGAATTTGATGAAAAGCTGACCTAATGGTGATCCTGTAACCATCATCGTAAAATCTCATCTGGTTCCCTGAAGTACTTATAGAAAAGGGAAATCCGCCATGCTCGTCTGATATAAGCCTGCATGTGACTCTGGATCCACAGAAATGTGGTTGATTCATCTGTAAAATCCTCCAGCACTCCAAGAAATCTATTGTTGTATAATTTTGGCCTCTTGTGCATATTTTTGATTATTTGACCATTTGTGACTGCATCTTCAGTTGCCTAGGTCCTAAACTTTGCAGTACTCTCCCTATACCCCTCTGCCTTTCTACGTTGTTTTCTTCCTTAAAACCTATCTTCTTGATATAGTAATTGTCCGTCACTTAATATCTCCTTATGTGACTCAGTGTTATATTTTGTTTTATAATGCTCCTGTAAAATGCCTTGGGATGTCTTATGACACTCAGTGTTATATTAATGCATATAGTGATCAAATGTAGGATTGGAATGATCTGGTGCAGAAATTCGAGACATTTTCAGTGTTAATTTTTGTTGGTTCACACTGACATTAGTTTAACATACTGCTTCTTTTCCCTCAGCCTTGAGGTTTTCATTCATCCAAATCTGTTAACTACATTTTAGAACAGGGGTGGGGAACCTGTGGCCTTCTGTCTATTTGTTCACAAATACTAAATCCGCCTTTTAAAATCTGTGTACCATTTTAAAAATTTTTACTGGTAACCCAATCATGTCAAAAACTAAGAAAAGAACATTAAAGGAAGAGGACAGAGCATTCAATGAAGAATGGGAATTGCAGTATTATGTGGTTGCTGTGAAAGATAAAATGATGTATTTGCTCTGTGATGCCATAATTGCAACAATGAAGAAATACAATGCATATCAGTATTATGCAACTCATAAGGACCACAAATATGCTAAACTGGAAGGAGAACCCTGAAAGTCTGCACTTAAGGAAGTGAAAGATCAAAAGCAGCAGCAACAGCAAATATTTAAAACCATGTCAGGATGAGGGACTGACATCACTGAAGCAACTTATAAAGTAGCATATAAACTTGGAAGAAGAGGTAAGCCATTTAGCGATGTGGAAATCATAAAAGAATGCATTGTTGAAATTGTAGGATGTTTATATTCAGATAAGGTTAATAAGTACAAACAACTACCTCTTTCAAGAAGGACCATAACTGATCGGCAACATGAATTTGCCTTCAATGTAACAGAACAGCTTCATAGAATATGCCAAGGTGAGGACATTTATTAGTCAATTGCCTTGGATGAATCCACTGACATTCCAGACTCAGCGCAGGTGTTTTTTTTTTTTTTTATTCGTGTTATAACTGTGGATTTTCATTGCCTTGAGGAGTTAACCCTTATGGTGAGGACACGTGGAATTGACATCTTCACTCTCAAAGAAAAATGCCATGAAGCGAAACTGAATTTATGTAATTTATTAAGCATATGCACAGATGGTGCACCTTCCATGAGAGGAAACTGTGAAGGATTTATTGTATTACTACAAAAAGAATTACCAGATCCAGATACTTTGATTTCCTCTCATTGTCTTTTGCATCAACAGAATCTCTGTGCCAAATCTACAGTTTTAAGTGACACATTAAATAAAGTTATAGGTATTGTAAACTACATTCAAGCAAATGTATCACAGCATTGCCAATTTCGCAACATGCTTCAGCTTGATGATGAAACATTCAGTGTGGATTGGCCATATCAGTCTGAAGTGCGCTGGTTGTCACAAGGACAAATACTTGTAAAACTTTTATCTTTGCGAAAACAAATCACAAGATTTTTTGAGGAACTGAATGAACCATGTGAATTGTCAAAAGAGGATTTCTGCAGAAATGCTGCATTTTTATATATAATGTCAAAGCAAACTGATCTGAATATTTTTTGCAAGGTAAAACTAAATCTAAAAATGATATGTGGCTAAAATCCAGGCATTTTTGAAAAGGTCAGCTTTTTCAAACTCTTCTTACCCAATCGCAACTTTCAGCTTGAACACTTTCCTGAACTGCCAAAGGTAATTAATGAACAGGGTACAGGCAAATCATTAAGGAAAGGTGACATGAAAGAATACACAGCTGTTCTAGACTCCCTGATTGAAGAATACAATGAAAAGTTTGCAGATTTTGAGAAATATGATCTCGCACTGAAACTAGCTTTTCAACAGCACCTGGTTGATGTCTCCAAAGCACCTGTTGACTTACAGATGGAATTGATTGAGCCCTCAGAAGATAATATTCTGAAGTCTCTGTTTGACACTAGGAAGGATCCCATTGAAATATGGAAAAATGCCATTGAATACCCATATTTACATCAACATGCTCGTCGAATGCTGTCTTGTTTTGGCACAACCTAATGTTGTGAATCAACATTTTCATATGTGACACAAACTAAAATGCGCTTGAGACCTCAGATGACAGATATTCACCTGGAGGACCAATTAAAGCTATAGTCAATGATGTTGGAACCAAATATCTGATTCCTATCTTGCAATAAGCAATCACAAAAGAGTAATTAAATAATTTGTTGTTCATGTTTTTCACTTATTAGTTCTGTTGTTAACTTTGCCAAACAACTGTGTCTTTGCTGAATTTTTATATTGTTTAAAATCCTCACATAATAGCACGCATTAATTAAAATTAGTAAATAAGTTGACAAAAATATGGCATTTTATTGTATCTGTTAAATTCTCAGCATGCAGCCTAATAGGATATCGGTTAAATAAAATGTGGCCTTCCAATGTAAAAAGGTATCCCACCCCAGTTTTAGAACCTGTCTTGGGAAAAGCGGCTGGATTAGTTTTGACAATTATAATTTTGTCACAATTTAGAATGGGTAAATTTCCAAATTCGACTGTCAAGATTGCATTATGAAAATCTAGCAATGTGCGTGGGCCACAATGTTTGTTTATTTTTGGACAGTTAGAGTTAAATGACAGAAAAGTGAGTGTTGCATTCCTGATTTCCTGTAATGCATTCCTGATGGGCAAGGTTGTGTGTCTCAAGTATCAATTATTGCAATAAACTTTGGGATGCTTCATAGTAACTGAGAAATGTACAACATGTATCTTTTTCTACCTCTAAATACTGACTGGCTTGCGTTTTAAAAACAGGCCGACAAGCAAAGCTGGCCTTTTTAAATACTGAAGTAAAGCCACCCAGAGATGTAAGGCGCAGACAGGAGAAGCATGGAACTGGAGTATCGATTTCAGCACCTCCGAGGTAATGCCCCATGTTAATTTAGATATGGTATAATGGACCCTTAATCTACAAGTCGCAGTGTTCAGTTTTGGTCTTTTGACAGGCTAAGAAAGGCTTTTCTAGACTTACATAATTGACTTTATATGATTCTTGGTGTCAGAAAGCTGGCGAAAGAATCACCTGTTGAGAAATTATATCATCTTCAAAAACCTCAAACGCCATAGTAGGATAAGTGTGTAGAATTATATTTAGAGCTCTTGAACTCATTTTGTTTTATTCCTTACTATCTTTTTCTGTAGGATAAAGATGCAAAGTCAAGTAGGAAGCAGTGGCAGTGGAGGAGGCAATCAGTCCTTTGATGGTCCTAGTACTAGCCATGGCTCCACATCATCCAGTCTGACACCCCCCAATAGTGGAGGAGGACTCCATGAATCCAAGAAACCCCAGGTCAAAAGTAAGTTTTAAATATATGTATTTTTTGTTGTCCCAAGACTCCCAGTTCTTTTTTAAATAGTGAATCTGTGCTTATTGAGTGAAATATGACTGCAGAGGAATGGGAAACTCACAGCTCAGTAACCACATCTAATAATTTCAGTTAATATATTGTGTTAGGCAATAAAGATCTGCCACCTGACTCTTGTGATATCTCAACTGAAGGATGCTTTGCATAGTGTAGCTCAGCTATTCAAACCTGCAAGCACCTAAGCTTGATTCCTCGTGTGACTTAATTGGAGCAGCAATGATACATCATAGGAAAAAATATCATTCAGAGTTACTGTTCATAGTTGCTGACTCGAATGTCTATGTATGTGGATGCTGGTCAGAGATAAGATTGGCCTTGGATATCATCTCTGTTCCTCCTGTTTGCTGACTTGGATTAACACATGGAAAAATATGATTTGGCGAAGGCATATGTGGCTACTGGGACCTTTGAACTGTTTCAGAGCAAAAGTGGCTACCTTCAGAAAAGCACGATTAACAAACTTGAGGGAGTTCCCTTTCATGGGGAATCTTTAAATTAGCAGTTCTTTAGAGCACTTGCAGTTTGCCAGTTTGAGGAACTCAGTATTCGTCCAGTGTGATGACATTAGTGAAAATAATTTGGAGTATTTCTTCAAGTGAAGCTATTGATTGCTTGGGCTCCTTAAAAGGAATTGCGTCACTATCACAGGCAAAAATGTACGTGTGCCTGGCAAGAGAAGAAAATTAGTGACTTTAAAAAGTGACAATGAAATGGGGATTATAATGAAAGTTAACCATGAGGTTCCATTTCTTTAAAAAAAATCAGTTTGGAAAAACTGTGAATGAACAATACAATTTTGTTCATTGTGCTGCTTATTTCGATTTGAGTGTTTAATAGTTACACAGTGAGTTGTGGATCTTTGCTTGGAGCAGGATTGACAGGAAGAAGCATCTGAAGTAATGGCTGCAAATATGCAGTATTTAGTTTCTTCAACAACTTGCATGTCCTACAGCTCCTTAAGTCTTCTAGCACCAGTAACTTGTACAGTCCAGCTGACTGCAGTCCTTAGCAGTTACTGTTTAAGCAAGGATGTTGACTATATGTATCCATAATAAAATGTTTAATGTTCCTCTCTGTGAGCTATAAAAAGTGCTAAAATTCATTTCCCTCCCAATTCTCAGATTTTTAACATTGGCATTTTCTTGTAAACAACTGTGTAAATACATGTGTACCCATATGATTTACTTTTTGAATTGCATCAACTGTCAATTCTTCTAATATGAGTGGCGGAGAGCATACTGTCAGTCGTAGCAGTTGGAGATAGAAGCCACTGACCATAGATCAACCTTTGGCTGCTTCAGGAGGGAAGTTCACCTTGCATTTTGGTGTATTTCCTCTGTAACCACCCTAAGAACTGTATTGAAAGAAGTCTAGATGAGTCCTTGCTGGTTCCACCAAAGAGTGATGCTTGAACAGTGAAAACAGGAAGAAAATGACGAATGAACAAAAGCTGAAAGATGTTGAGCACCAGTTATGTGAATAGAGTTGTTTCTCCTCCATAAAAGTTGCTGCTGTTACTATAAAACTTTTTTATATTTTTGTTTTTCAGAAATTGCACCAATGATGGCAAAAACAATAAAGTTTTTCAAGAACCGTTTTAGTCGAAGATAAAATGTGTGTGAAAGACAGAAGGAACAGTAACATCACCCCCACTCTTTGAATAGTGATGTATCTACTGGTCCTATTCTGAGCCATTTTGCGTGCTCAAGAACATAAGGGTACAAATTGCAATACCAAGAACTGAAAGACAGTTTGTGTGCTTGAAATGATGTCTATGGATTACATCTTATTTTTAAAAATATTTTATTATTTTACATTTAGAAGCGAAAATGTAAGCTCTTGTTACTGGGCACTGAGTGTTTTATTTCCCCTCTAGAATATTCATGTGTAAATAACACTTGGGCCTGTCTTGTTGCACAAAATTTAATCATTATATTTTCCAAATCCTTTACATTTTTAAATTGTCATCATAAAGACATGTTGATTTTAATGATGATGAATTTGAGGCCTAGACAATATTAATGTTGCAGTATTGGTTTTAATGTTCTTTCCCATTGTTCTCTTTCTATCTCTTTTACTATTGTGCCAATCTTTTCGCATCTCATGCTCTACAGCGGTTTTGGCATTTTAACATCGGTTGCCTCATTTGGGTAGGATTCATGGATCGTAAATTACATTAACATTGTAGGAAAAGAAATGCAGTCACAGAAATAATTCGTGCCATCTTGACTTCTGTTTTGTGGTAATATTATTTCTCCTAATAAAGTCCTGGTGCTAAAAGTAAACATGTGACACTGACATGTATGTTGGCTGGTTTTTGAAGCTGTCAAGAATGAGATTGTAGATTGATTTGAATTGTCCACTTTTTTTTTGTAGCAGCTGCATTTGTAGGACAGCATATCAAATAATCAACTTAAAAGATTGACAACCTTTGGTTGATAGTCGCACTTCAGAATTTTGCCAGTTATATCACCAAATGTTAATTATGGCATAGGGCAGCCATGTTTTTGTGGTTTTATTGGGATTATTTATTCTGTAAGCATGATTAGATCAATCATTTCACTAACTGCAGGATTGTTACATTTCATGTGAAAATTAGTTATGATAAATTATACAATAATCATCTTATTTGAGAGTTAGAAGTTACTTGAGATCCTGCTGGCAGATAGCTATACATTACAGTAAGATGAATTTCTCATGTGTAACACTAAATTCTGTATTTTCCTTTCTTGGGAAAGACCTACCCCAGCTCAGTTGGTATGGTTCATATACATTAAAGAACAGAACATGTCTGTTCATAAAATTAGCCTGGATTTGATTTTTTTTTTTTGTCATCTACAAGAGTGTTGCCATGATGGCTTTGCTGTGCAATGCAATCTAAACTGATTCAGTTAAATCGGAATTTCAGGCCATGAAATACTGGGTTATTATTATGAATGTCTTAGAAACTGGGATTTCTTTGTTCATACATCACAATGGTGCTATTTCAATGGTGCGATATATGACACAATAAACCATATAGTGGCTCTCTATTGAGGTACACATAAGCAAATAGATATATTATTGACAAAAACAATGCACACTGGAAAAGGTGTTGACATTAATACAAACAGACTTATTTTAAGGGGACATGAGCAAATAGTTAACTATGTAATAAAGAAGCATTAATGTACAAGATATGAATGTATTTATCATATACCATATGTAGAATTTCAGTCAATTAGCTATGGATTATTATGCAATTAGGTTTATAGGAATGATACTAATGGTTAGATATCTCCTGTGAACCTTGTCACACATATCCTTCCTTGGCAGCTCCTAAAAATCAGACCTGAGGCCTGAACTGTATAGATAACCTTCAGATAACATATAAACAGTAAGTTTGTTTATTTTAAATGAATACCAGGAGTGTTTTTCTGTGCTGGATTCAGATAATTGCTATAAATGCTTTGGGTTCATCTCATGCAGTTATGACATATTACAAAACTATGAGCAAGTTATAGTTTTGTCAAATCAGGTGTCGGTCATTCTACACAGTGAAATGCTTCACCATATAACTTCATTTGTAAAGCTTTCTGTCTTCAATCCTTGATAATGTCTTCAATCCCTTGATAATGTCTTCAATCCCTTGATAATGTCTTCAATCCCTTGATAATGTC